CAGGGCCGGGTTCTGTACAGCGGTGGTGGGGAGTAGGACGGAGCCTAGAGCTGCTCATCCAAAGAGTGCTGGGGGGGATGCGGCTTCCACCCGGCACACACCCTGGGAGGGCATGGGCGGCATGTGCCCCCAGATCTGCATGTGGGGCGGGGTAGGCTGCCATTGCGGGCTGGGAATGGGGCTGCGCCAGGCTCTTCCTAGCATGGGGCTGAGCCAGGCTGCACTCAGGATGAGCAGTGGTAGCACTGGGAGGCAGCTATGGGGGGGGTTCAGACACCCCAAAACTCACCAGCACCCTCCCCCGCCACCTAACACTGCTGCCACCCACCCCAAGTGCAGCACCAGCCCAACACCCCCGCTGGGAAGAGCCCAGAGCAGCCACGGCCCCAGCCCCACTCTGTGCACAGATCCAGGGGCACACCCCCCCCCATGCCAGCTCAGGGTGCACACAGCAGCGGGAGCCGATCCCCTCCTCCCCATGCCTCTGGACAAGTGGCTTGCAGCTCCATCCTGCACCCCGACCCACCCTGGCTGAGTAGTGCCTGCCCCTGCCCCGCTCCCTCCCTCACCGTGGGGAACTCAATTTGCCCCCCTTTGTCCCTTCCCTCCCCCCATCCCTGCCCCCACAACAGACTTACCAGCCCAACGCTGGTCTCCAAGCCCCGTGAATGCTGCAGCTCTGCGTATGCATAGGGCATTTATCAGCCACATTCTTGGCCACATTAGGCAAAATAGCCAATTTCTGATACTGTCTATTTTCCCTATATCGGTACCAATCCAATATGAGACCAATGTATCAGTGGACCTCTACACATCATTCAAACAACTCTGGCAATTGGAAGAGACAGGACTTCTAACATGTCAAGGAGAGTCATGGGCCTAGGCCTGCAAAGAAATTATAACTCCTTTTTATTACTACAAGCTACAGTTTACTTGGGACAAAAATAATGAAAACAGGGACAGGAATGGAGGTCACAGGTTAATAACTAGTGTGCCAAGCAGGGACACCGAGCAGAGCACACTGGACAGCACCCACCTGCCCTCAAATGAGTCCAAGGAACCAGTGGATACTGCCCAGTGATACTCGGCCTGGAGACAGGAACATATTAGGGACAGAAAAAAAGCCCTCACAGTCCCTGGGGACCCTCCTGGCCAGAGCCTCCTTCCTGGTCAGATACATGGCCAGCTTTGCCAGGCCCAGAAGGAGGTTGACTAGCAGGTCCTGCACCATGGTGGGGCTACAGATGGGGAGTGAAAAAATTAAGCAAGGGGAATAGTGCAGCCAAAACCTCAGCAAGAGGTTCTAAAAGGGATGGTGCAGTGACGGCAGGTATGTTTATGCCAGAGTTTGAAAGAGACAGGCCTATTTGTCACTGTTTAAAACACATGGGCCCAGCCCACCAAGTCTCTCATTAGCCCCCCTGAAGTGGGACGGGGACAACAGATTTCTTGGGACAAATAATGAAAAAACAGGGAGGAGAGTGCTGACCAGAGGTTCAAAACAAGTGTGCCAAGTGGGGACACCAAGCAGAGCACACTGGACAGCACCCACTAGCCCTCAAATAAGTCCAAGGAGCCAGCAGACACTGCCCAGTGATACCCTGCTCAGAGACAGGAATGATGTAGGTTAAGGAACGTGGCCCCACAGTTCCCAGGGACCCTCCAGGCCAGAGCCTCCTTCCTGGTCAGATACATGGCCAGCTTCGCTGGGCCCAGGAGGAGGCTGACCAGGAGGTCCCGGGCCTTAGTGGGGCCATGGACAGGGAGTGCAAAAATAAAGAGGCAAGGGGAATAGTGTATCCAGAGCCTCAGCAAGAGGTTCTGAAGGAGACCGTGCAGTGACTGCAGGTATGTGTATGCCAGGGTTTGGAAGAGACAGGATACCAGACTTAATGACTAAGGGTTTGGGCCAATAAATCAACTGATTCCCACATGCCTATGCAAGGACATAAAACACTACCCTCCAACAAAACATGCTTACATATATAATAGATCTCCAAGTAAAAGCACCATATGCAAAATGGATGGTTTTCTTTATACATCTCAAATTTTTATTGACTTTAGTTTTGTTTGATAAATTCACTCTGTGGAATACTCTGCTATGTTTCCTGTCCAGAAATTTAAGCACATTCTCTTGTTAACCTTACTTTGAAGCGAGTATGCTGAACCCAATGTAAACTAAGTTGAAAAAATATAAATGAGACTGAATTAAAATGCAGGGTCCAATCCTGCTAGTCTTACTCACAGGCATAGACAGACTCACAGGGCCTGCATTGAAAACCTTGTAAGTGGACACCCATATCTACCTGCAGTCTGCTAAAATGATTGCAAATAGAGGGCTATAAGTTTCAAAAGATCTTTTATACTAGGGGGTCTATTGTGAATAAACAAAATTGATTTGCTGCATTTTGCATTCAAGTTTGCATATAAACAATACCTAGAAAAAAATGGAGCTGCCAACGGATATGCTAAGGTGCCCACAGCCCATTGGTACTATTTGAACATTGTTTAATCTTTGAAAAAGTTGTAAAGCTTCTTTTTAATTGAATTGTGAACAGCTCAACTGCTGTAAACAAAAATATCCGTACAAATTCTCAAATGTTAATCTTTAAATACAACCTCATATATTTTGAGACAGCAGAACTTTACAAGAAGTTGACAGGAGAAGCTGTTGTCTTCAGCTACCATTATCTCAACCATGGGTTTATATTACTATATTTTTAAACCTTGTTCATTTCCTTTTTGAGATTATGTTTAAACCAGGATGCTGAAATGATTGTCTTTGACCACAAGTGCAACCATTTAGCTCTTTGTTCCCATACTTATAAAGCCTGACATAAATCAGAATCCAGTTTAGTAACCATCCCTTTAATGATACTGAAAGATGAGTAAAGAAATCGAGCACAAGACAGTAACTAACTCCCTTCCCTCATCATACGTAAGGTTTTCACTTGGTGCAGTTTGGGAATGGCTACTTAACAGAGCTTATTTCAAGCATTAATCCTTCTAACACTCTAAATGGCAGCAATCAAGAAGTTGCAGCAACAGCATTAGTCTCCTTTCATTTTCCATTTTGTGGCCCTGAATGGTAATCTAACTTCACTATCAAGAAAGTTTACCCATTTACTGCAGCTCCATGATCTGCTTGCTCATTAAAAATTCCCGGCAGCAGCAGGGCAAGCACCATTTCCCTATACCGATGTCATCAGTATTTACAGAAAAGAAAATCCCACTCAAACAGCAAACAGCTCAGAAATAAAGTCCCTGTGCACGCTTCCTCTGCTGTGAGCCACAAGCTACTGCCTACTATGATTCCTCCATGCTGCTAACACCACGGCTCTCTACTAAATAACTGTCCATTATTATAGGGGTTTTACACCGTCGTCTTAATCATCTGCTGCAGGCCATCCTCAGAGACAAGAAAAGCTATTTGGTTTAATCCCTTATGGAACAGTCTATGTTCTTAGTCACTCCTTACAACAACATGCCACTATCAAAGTGGGCAAGAGGAAAAGAAAAAAAGGTAAAGCCTCAGACCAACACAGCACTGCACACATTGCAACCATCAGGAAGACCGGGCAAACAAAATCACTACCATGTTATCTGCCAGAACCTGCCCTTTTCCAATAATGTGTGTCATTCTCTCTTCCCTGCACTTCCCTCTCCCTTTCTCTCCTACTAATATAGATGTAGTCAAAGCATCAACACAAGGCGCTCGACATACGTTATGTCAAATGGCTTGTGGGACGGGTGGGTGGGAAGAAACCCCCAAGTTCATCATCCAAGACCTCAGAAAATGCACCGATCATTCAGCAACTTATCTCTGCGAAAGTAATTATGAAGCCAAAAGTCAGCAACACTATTTCCCTACCCCCATCAGTATCTCTAAAAGCTCCTCTCTCTGCCTGCAAACTGTAGAGAAAAAGCGCAGTCTCCCTGATGGCAAACAAAATTGCTAACATCAAGAACTGGGTGGTCATGTGCGTCTGTGTTTGTGTGCGTGTCTGCGTGTCAGTGTGTCTGCGTGTCACAGCTTGTGTGTGTGTGTGTGTTGGCATATGTGTGTCAATGTGAGTGTGTGTCAGTGTCTGTTTGCCTGCATCTGCATTCATTAGTGGGCCTGTGTGTGTGTGTCGGCATACACATGGGTCTGTCAGTGGGTGTCAGTCTGTGTGTCTGTGCGTGGCAGTGTGTGGGTGGGCGTGGCAGTGTGGCAGTGTTTGTGTATGTTGCTGTGTCTGTGTTGTGTGTCTGCATGTGCGTTAGTGTGTATGTGTGTGTCTGTCAGTGTATACGTGTGTGCGTTTGTTGGTGTGCGCGCCTGTGTCTCGGTGTGTCAGTGTGTCCGTGTGCATCAGTCAGTGTCAGTGAGTATGTGAGCTCGTGTGTGTCAGCGTGTTCACATGGACACGCATATCTGTCAGCGTGTGCCGGGCTGTGTGCACACGTCGCTGTGCCTGTGCCCAGGGAGCCAGGGACACACCGCACACCTGAGCCACACTCAGCCCAGCCTGCCACAGCCCCAGCTCGAGCCCGAGCCCTGCCCCCCGGGACAAGGCGCGGAAGCCCGGCGCCAGCAGCCGGCGGCCGGGGTTGGGGGGAGGACGAGGACGGGGCACCGCCGCCCTCCCGCAGCGCGCCCAGCACAGGGCAGGGGTGTTCTCATGCCCGGGGGGCCGGGGAGCACAAGAGGCCGCTGCAAACACCCGCCCGGGCCGTGCCCAGCTGCGCGCCCCGCGCTACTCACCGCGGACGCCTGACCCCGGGGCCGGGGCCCCCGTGCCCGGGCTCCTCGTCCGCCTCCTTCCCGCCTCTTCCCGGGCCGGGCCGGGTCGGGCCGGGCTCTGGCGAGTCAGCTCACGTCAGCGCGCGGGGCCGGGCCTCCCCGGACAGGAGGAGGAGCCCGGCGCAGGGCGGCACCGGGAGCTGGAGGCTCCCGGCGGAGCGGCCGGGCCGGGCCGCTCCCCTCAGCACAGACCCAGCTCCGGCCTCCCGCTCCCGTTCCTCTCCCGGGCCTCGACGGGGGCTTTCCCGCCAAGCGCTCTTGACAGGGCTGCTCGCTTCCCGCCCCCCTCGCCCGCCCGCAAGGGGCAGAAGTTGGTCCCTTGCCCTATTATTTCTGGTCCCCAGTTTCTTTTTCAAAGCGAATCTTTACCCAATTCAGGATTCTTTGGGAGAGCGCCCCCGGGGGCAGAGAAGAGCCGTTTGAGGGCAGTGGCAACGTGTAGGGCTAGGCTGGCGCATGAAAACAGCTCCAGGTCAGGCACTGCCCTGCCCAGAATTCTCCAAAGAAGTGGTGGAGACGTGTGGTTTGGGGTGACCCGAAAAGTATTTTGCCAGCCTAATCTCAGCTCTTTATACTTGATACATGATATTATTTTACATTTTTTATTAGTAAATACACATTTTGGATGAAATTCTAACACTTTAACATGTCTAATTCATTACTAACAACCTTTAACTGTGTAAAGTTCAGCTTTGACAAAGTGATTGGGAATAAGGAACCAACTTCAGCCTCATCCCGCTGCTGCCAAGTGCCTGCCTTTGAGGGCAGTGACATGCGCCCCTGAGGCAGCAAGTCTCAGCCTGGGCACCCTGTCAGCCTGGGGGACCTTGAAGATCCTTTACAGGATGGTGCTCAATGTCCACAGCATGAGACATGCCAGCCTGATTCACGAGATAAACCCAGAGGTTCCAAACCGTATTTTTGGTCTTTTAGGAGCTCTTTGCAACACAAAACCTGCTCTGGCATTTTTTTGCAGTCAAAAACCAGAGCAAACACTAAGAACTGGCATTTTCTGAGGGGTGTTGCAAGTCATCTAGTCCAATTCCTGCCTAAGGCAGGATCATCCCTATCCAAACCATCATCTAAACAATACCATTAACTCTGACACAACACAGACCTAGCAAATCATACAAATCATCATACAAATACCTAACCTGCCAGTGGTAAAGCAGGAGAACATGCAGCTTCTGTGAAATGTTAATATATGCTGAAGAGATCCCAGGGAGAGGGTCATTGGGACCCAGGGGTGCCATGAGTCCATCCAGGGGTGCCTCACACCTAAAAGAAGCTGAGAATTATCACCCTAAAAAGTTCATTTTGCTGATAGCATCTGAGGCCCTTTCAGAGACCTCGGACTTGGGTTCCTGTCCTTCCACCCTTCTCAGTTTTGGTGCTCAAAATCCACCCCAGCCCCAGGCAGGGCTAAATGCCCTTTCTTTCTTACGATAAGCTGTTACGTCTCACAAGGTATGCAAGCCTGGGGCAGGGCATCCGGGATTAATCTTCAGAAGATTCTTCTCCAATTTGTTTACAATGAATCACCACAGATCACCCATAGTTTCACTGTGAGGTAAACTACGACAGACAGACAGAAGACAGGGCAGGCTTCACCTTTCTTTTACCTTGTGGTAGAAGTAATGTTCTTTCTTCAGTGTATTTTCTGATTGCTGTCGCTCACGTATGCTACCGCAAAGGAAAAATACACCTTGTTAGTACTGAGACCTGAGAGTCCTGGCCACGCTAGGTGTGCTTACCGTAGTGTTACAGGCTGCCCAAATGTAGGTTGTGCTTTAATTTTTGTATTATGTGATTTTTTTTTCCCTTTATTTTCAGTCTCCTGCCAATTTAACTTGTTTTATTTAAGCTATCTGGAATTGGGAGAACAAAATACTGGTTTAGGATCAAGCATCCACAGTTATCCTCACAGAGGAAAAAACTTTACTGAGCTCAAGTGGAAGATGTAATAGTCCAACAGTTGTTCTTAAAGACAAGATCAAAAGAAAAGTAACAGCATAGCATTCTCTCCAAACAAGGCAATTAAAACAACAGTGTCATGAGTAAATGAAGAGTTTGGGTATCTTACATATTTTGCAGCACACTAAACATGCTGGAAAGGCAGGTGCCAGGTCTTCTGGCAGGGGAGGGAGAGGGGGAAGAGGGAGAGCTGTAAGTTCCCACCACCCCAAACATAAACGTACCCTCTTTCCTGGCAGCAATAAGTCTTCTGCAGCTAGTGGGAGCAAGGAGGTGGTAGCAGTGCCTTCATCACTAACCAGCAGCAGCATGACGTTCTCCACCCCAATTTCAGTTCCTAGTGTGAGCCTTTCAGTGCCAGAGGAGGAGCCGGATCTGGAAGCAGAGGACCTGAGGGCCATAGCGAAGGAAATTCTGGGGAAGGAGGGGGAATCTGAGTTTGTGCTTCACGCCCCTCAAAGTTCCCTTAGAGGCAGGTTTCCTTCTCTAGAAGGCACTTCAGAAGAGGTTGTGGGGGCAGGTGGCTCAGCTCCTGCTGTTGTTGTGCCTCTGCCTGGTGAAGAGGGAGATGAGGCCCCACCCTCAACCCAGAAGGCAGGGGTTGTGTAGTGTGGGATCATTTTGAGGTGGCAGATGATTCCAGGTATGCTACCTGCCAGCACTTCCAAAGGCAGATCAGTCAGGGTAAGGCCATGAAACACTTCGCCACCACAACAATGCTGCTGCATCTCAGGAGGCAGCACCCCCTTGCCCTTGATCCTCCTCAGCCTGGCATCAGTGAGAGTGTGTCCAAAAAGAAGCAGAGGCAGGCCACCCTGGAGCAGTGGGGGAAAGGTGGAGATAAAGGGCGCATTCCAAAGGTGAGCAAGGTCACCCAGGGCATTGGGGAAACGCTTGCTCTGGATGGCTACCCCTTCTCCTTAGTAGAGCGGCCAGGGTTCAGGTGGGTCATGGCACTCATGGCCCCATTGTACCAAGTGCCTGCATGCACCTCCTTCAGCGGGATAGTGGTGCCCTCCCTGTATGAGGCATGGAGGGAGTACTTGAGGGAGGAGCTGCACAAGGCAGGTTCACAGCTCAAATAGAAACATACAGGTCACATCCACCAAGCATTGCTACTCAGCTTGACTCGCAACTCAAAGCTCAACCAAAATGTAACTGAGAAATGCTAATTAAACAGCTAACATCCCTTCATTTCCTAATGGGACAAGGACTGGCAATAGAGGGTCACAATTCTGAAAGTGGCAATCTATATCAGTTCATGCAACTTCGCGCTGAGGATTGTCCTGATCTTAGCTACTGGCTCTCTGAGAAAAAATACATGTCCCATGATGTAATCAGTGAATGAATTAATCTCTTTGCAATAGACATCTTACGGAGACTGCTTTCAAAGACGTATGTGGTGGGATTTTACTCTATTCTTGCAGTCGAAACAAGGAATATTGCAAACAAAGAACAACTGGTCACTTTCTTTCATTGGGTAGACAAAAATTACACAATACAGGAAGATTTAATTGGCCTTGTTGATGTACCTAAAACTGACTCCTCTATCATCTATAGTGTGCTATACGACATTTTGATACACTGCAACATGCTGCTGGGTCTATGCAGGGGGCAGGCACATGATGGTGCAGCTAATATGTCCAGTCACAAACGTGGTGTTGCTGCTCAATTTAAGCAAAATAATCCTGCAGCCATTCACATTCATTGCTTGATGCACTGCATAAATCTGTGCCTGCAAGATGTGGGGAAAAACTGTAAAGAAATTTGGGATGCATTGGACTTGGTGTTAGAGGTGACCCATCTCATCAGGCAGTCCCCAAAGCAAAACCATTTGTTTGAGTCTTTAAAGAAAGAATTAACCCTGGAGAGTCAAAACCTGCGCACCCTCTGTCTGACATGATGGACTATCTGCACCAGTGCACTGAAATCCATCATAGATAACTACAGTGTTCTCTGTACTGTAATGACACAGATCAACGAAGAGTCACACGATGAATATGGTAGAAGAGCTTGTAGCATTTTGGCAATCCTAGAAAAATTCAGTACATTTAATGGTCTGCATCTCTCCTACCTTGTCTTCTCTGCCACTGAACAATTATCCAAAACATTGCCAGCAGTTAACACAACACTGCAGGATGCACAGAAAGCAGTGAAACTAACACGGGGATTTCTTCTGTGGCAGCAGTCCGAACAGGCCTGCGAAAGTTTCTACAAGTCAGTGACAGAGGCTGTCACAGATTTGACAGATGCACCTGTGCTGCCAAGCCACCAGAGACACTCAAAAAGGCTGGATGGGGGAGAAGTTGACTACACCTTTCAGAGTCCAGCAGAATATTACAGGAGACAGTATTACAAAGTTTTGGATTTGCTTGCGTGTGAACTGATTTGTCATTTCGATCAGAAAGGCATTGATGTGGCAATTGACCTGCAGAAGCTTCTGCTCACTGCAGCTAAAGGAGACAATGTCACTTTTGTTCCCATAACTTTGGAATTGTATGCTAGTGATTTTGATTTTGATCGCTTCCATACACAGTTGAAAATGTTGCTGGATACAATAAAAGAGTCTGGAAATTAACCCACAATGGTAATGATGATTAGATCAATCTCAGATGCAATGAATGTGGTGCCTGTGGCAAAGACATTACTGCCAGAGTTGCCCAAATTACTTTGTTTATGCTACACAATACCTGTGACTACTGGAACAGCAGAAAGATGCTTTTCTGCACTCCATTGTGTTAAAAATTACCTGTGATCTACAATGACTCAGATGACATTGAATGACTTAATGTGTGCCTGCCGTTACAAGGACACCCTTGCACAAACAGACATTACCGCAATTGCAGCTGAGTTTGCACACCGAAACGATCGCAGAAGGACTTTCTTTGCAAAGTTTGACACATGTGGACAATAAAATGGCACTTCCATATTCACAAGCAAGGAGCTGATAAATATTGGTGAGTATTATAACTTGATGTTTTTCAGTTACTCTTCCTGTACTACTGCATGCAGTGTG